CCAAGATAACTGGTCTCTGGGCCAAGATTGAACCCAGAACCTCCTGAATATGAGTCAGGAGTGTTAACCATTTGACCACGATGTTTGGTGCCTCACATAAAGAACTTGAATGCAAATATGCCTAATTCTTTGCCTTTTACACAATTTCCTTTAATGTTCTAATAAAATTAATACACTTTACATACTGCCATTAATTTAGAAGCTGTATATTAGTTTAATCATTAAACTTTCATGGATGATTTCAGATGTCTCCTTCCAAAGATGATATATCTGCATTTGCAGTTTACAGTTCCTCGAAAAATAAAAAGAAAAGAAATAGGAAATCTAAAGTCAGTATACAGGAATCTGAGGATATGTTTCGAGAAGAAGAGGAATTTTATGTTGAAGAAGTTTTAAATGACCACAATGAGCCTAGTGCTTCTAATTCTTGTAACAATATTAAAGACAAGAAGAAGAAAAAAAGAAGCAATTTATCTTTTACAGTTACTAGTGAGCCACAAAGGGCTTCTGGTGTTGAAATTATAGATGTTGATGAGAATTCTAATGATGTTCTACTAATTGAGAATACAAAAAAAGGAAAAAGGAGAAAAATTGTTGTATTGGATCCTGAAAGTGAAGAAGTGGAAGAGGAGATTATATTTGAGGATATAACTGGAAGGAAAACAAACAGAACTCAATCAAAAATAAATTCCACAAAAGGAACAAAGCAAAAGAAAGGTACAGCGAGTTCAGATGACTCGTCTGTGAGTCCAGATGTTTGCATAATTGAAGAGGAAGAGAGTGAAGAAGATGAGAGCTACAGTGGTAACAGTGTAGATGAGGCCAGGAAATTATTTGCTTGGCTTATAAATCCAGTTATTCCAGCAGATTTCTTCAAGTAAGTAGTGTTGGTGACTTCAGGTCATTTTTTTTAAAAGGGACACCACTTTGAGATTGAAATACAAGTTTATTAAAATTGAAAGGGGAAATAGACCACAGAAAGGGTCCACATGGCATAAAATTCATTTATTTTTAAGATTAGTGATGCAGTTATATTCATTTGTGAAAGTAACTTCTGAATTTGTTTGTGTCTAACTATAATCACCTATTGTTAGGTTTGTTCACAGGTTTCTCATGCTTCTTTCCTTGTTTATTATGACCAAATATTTAATCTTCTCCTCATTTACTTTCAGTCCCACAAGGGATGCAGCTTTCTCCATTTTACAAATGCTTCACTCTTCCCACAATATCATTGTTGTTCACGTATGTTATTAGCTGGGTCGACTTATTATAGATTATGCCCCTTGTCCATACATTGGCATCCCTGACAATTTTCTCCAGTGCGAGGTCAAATAGGTTACACACCAGCATGTCCCATTGACTGGTAATATGAACAAGGAACAACAAAATTTAAAGATAAAACACTGGGTGTGTTGTAATGTTAGCTGTGATCAGTAACTTAAGTTTCTTGATTCTTGTCAAGTTGCAGAATGTTTCTTGTGGAGATTAGCACAAAGTGTCTATAGCTTGACCTATACAGAGGATGCTCATGTGCATCCCATTGTTGAGCCTGCATAGACGTGATTTTATTTCAGCTCTTTGATATAGGGCATTATCAGAAATGCTAAGATGAGGACAACTGATCTTGAAAGAGATTTTGGTGCTCAATTCCTGATCCTGTTATAACTATAGAGCAGGCTTTGTACCCCATTCTTCTACTTTGTGTGTAGTTTCAGGTAGTTACATATCCACATTAAAGTAATTCAAATTATTATATCTGGCAATTGTTGAAAATATTGCTCAGTTTCCTGACCTTTATTGTACTGGAATAGGATATTTAAACACTCATCCCATGGGGCTGCTAGCTGTACTTTAAGTCTGTGGTTAACAGATTAGTAGTATGCTACTGCATTGCATAAGCCATGATGCACAGATGATAAAGGTTAAACCACAGACTTTGTGAAATTGAAGGGAATTCATTGTGTAACTGTCTTAATAATACAAATGTGTGTTAATTTTCTTGCAGCAATGCATGGGAGAAAAGACCAGTGCATGTAAAGCGTGGTGTTCCTGAGTACTACAAGCCTGTTGTATCTACATCAGATATAGACAAAATGTTGAGAAATAATAATGTTCAGTTTACGAAGAATTTGGATGTAACATCATATTCTAATGGTAAAAGAGAGACTCATAATCCTGTTGGCCGTGCTCTGCCAAACATTGTGTGGGATTATTACAAGAATGGCTGCAGTGTTCGTCTGCTTAATCCGCAGACATATATTCCAAAACTCGCTCTTTTAAATTCTTCTTTACAAGAATACTTTGGTTGTTCTGTTGGAGCAAATATATACTTGACACCTCCAGACACTCAAGGCTTTGCACCACATTATGATGACATTGAAGCTTTTATTATGCAAGTTGAAGGGCAGAAACACTGGAAACTGTATGCACCAAAGTCAGAATCTGCAACTCTACCAAGATTTTCGAGTGGAAACTTCACTGAGGATGAAATAGGGAAACCTATAATGGAACTCACTCTTCAGCCAGGTGATTTGTTGTATTTTCCACGAGGCACAATTCACCAGGGTCGGGCTGTACCAGGAAGCCACTCGTTACACATTACGCTGTCATGCTATCAGCGTAACACATGGGGTGATTTAATGGAAAAGGTTTGTAGAATTTTGTTAATACGTATGTGAACATTTCACATCCCGTATTTGCATTGTTTCCCCAGTTTAAAGATGAGTGTCATCAATCCTATTTAAGAAGTTTGAGCATGCAAAATTAAATATTATTAACGCGATGAAATTGAGGATGGGGCATGTGGCACTCATGGGAGAGATGACAAATTTGCGCAAAATATTGGCTGGAAAATCTGAATTGAAGAGACCACTTGTCTGGCTGAGGGTAGGGGCTGGTAGCAGAGTGCAATTAAAACTTTTCATAAAGGACTCTGCTACATGAAGTGAGTGAGAAAGTTAATTAATAATGTCAGTTTTAAGAACATCTGGGAAGAATAGGCTACTAGTAGAGAACTAATGTGTGTCCAATTGACAACATACACTTTACTCTGGTTTTAATTTTAAAGTTAATTAATTGTTGGCTGTTATGTTATAGGTAGTTACTGCAGCTGTACGAATTGCGGTGGAAGAGAATATTGAATTTCGGAGGGGGTTGCCTCAAGATTATTTGAACTTCATGGGCATTGCACATAGTCATGAATCTTCATCACAAAGAACAGACTTCATTGATAAGATAAAATCTCTTACAATGAAACTGTTTGACTATGCACCAATTGATGCAGCAGTTGATCAGATGGGAAAACAATTTCTTCATGATGCATTGCCACCAGTGCTAACTGCAGGTACTAAAAACACTGTGCTAAAACAAAATAAGTTATAAAGTATTATTTCTTCTTCTATGGCTCTCTGGTCCGTATTCGGTCCATGGCCTCCTCAATTCTCCTCTGTCCGAGGCTTTGATTGAGGTTTCGAAACATTTTCCTTTTTACGGTGCAAGGTTGTTAGCTTTGCGACCAACCCCCAGCCTGGAGGACCAGGATACCTGTCTTAGTCTGACCTCTCCCCCTCAACCAATCTGGCTAGGGGGGGCCCTACCCATAGCTATGCTATCACCAGCATAGCTCTTGGGATCACTGAGGTACTCAAGCCCCACCACCATCAAACAATATTATATAGGTATTTATTAAATTTATTTGTCATGAACTTCTTACATATAGTACTGCTTGTAAGAATATGTAATTGGAGTACTGAGTATTTGCTTACCTGCCATTTTAACAGATTTTTGGGCATATTGTTTTCTGTGTGTAGTCCATTCCAGTGTGACAATATTTGGAATTAAGTGTTTTTGTCATGTAAAACATTTCAAAGTAGTGACCAGAGCATTCAGCAAGATCGGCTAAAATATGATTTAATATTAGTAGCGATGTATAACTTGAAAACAGTTGCACATCAGAGCTAAAAAGATCTGAAAATTTAACAGCGCCAGCATAAAGCTTGCATTGTATCATGTATCGAGGCATTTCACATTGTTACATATAATTTGCTATTATTTGTTTGTGTAAACATGAAAAAATATGGGTCCTGTCACATTATTGAATGAAAATATGTGTTTGTTGCCCATTTTTCATAACTCTGGTATTTCATATTTCAGAAGAGAAGCAGTGTTCATCTTTTGGAGATGGTCACAGAATGGGGCCCAATGGAAAGCTTATCAGTGGTGGTGAAATTACTTTGGAAACAAAAATAAAGTTGCTAAGAGCTCATATTGTCAGGTAATGTCATGCGCTTACAATTCATTGAAATACCTCATAAAGACAGGAAAGGTAAAGGGTTTAAAATGGCGTGTGGATATTGCGTAGTTTCAGACAAAGGATGAAGAATGTGTAATAACGACATTTATGCAGTGATTATTATTATTAAGTGTTCTGTCTTACGACAGGTCCATTGCTCTGCCCAAAAAGAGCTCTCCAGTTGTCCCTATTCTCGGCTTCTTGCTTTAATTCCTGGAACGTCATCTTCTTTCCTTGTTTAAGGTCGTCGGTTAGCTGTATCAGTCTTCTTCCCAGTCCTCGCTTTCCTTCAACCTGGCCTTCGATGATATCACTCAGTAACCCATTCCTTCTCATAATATGTCCCAGCCAGTTGGCTTTCCTTCGTGTAATTGCCTGCAGAATGTTTCTTTGCTATGCAGTGATTAAGAAAATTAAAAATTGCATATTGCAAAGCTGTAATTAATGGAGGAATTGAAGACTTTGCTGTCTTCTGATACAGATGTATTATAGGACAATTTATTGAATGATGTTTGTATATCTTGCTATCGCTTTAGTTTGTTAGTTTGTTTTGGGAATCTGTCACTGTCCATTCTATTAGGGCAGGTTAACTAGTTTTCTCTGTAATCTATGTTATTCATTTTACAAAAGCAGGACAGTTCCACAGTTCTGCATTAGAAATACAGATCTAGCAAACAATATTTAAATTATAACCTTGATTTGTTATGCAGGTTGGTCTCTGAAGAAGATTCTGTCCGGATATACCACAGTATTGATAATTCACTTGAATATCATGGGGAGGAACCACAATACCTTGAGATTGCTTTTGAACTTGCCCCAGCTGTAGAACATCTTATCTGTTCTTATCCTGAATTTATTAAAGTCTCAGAATTGCCTTTGGAGTCAGAAGAGCAAAAGGTAACTTTGTTTTCTCTGTGTAGTTCGTTGTGTTCCATTCTTAAGCTTCGCACCCACTGGGAAATGTTAATTTGTTTTTCTGTATTATATGGAAAGATAAGTATGAGATCATAAGTGAGATTTGAGGTTGGCATGGGGCGAGTATGAAGAGAACTGAATGTGCTTGCTGCATATGTCATACCATTACAGTGCTATACCACAATTCCAGGAACTTTTTGACTGTCCCTCGTATATTCCAGAAATAGAAAAAAGCTGGTTCTGTGGAAGACACATGAAGACATTTTTATTATTGATAGTACAGTAATATAATTTGGACATTACTATTTGATAACTTACAGCAGTTTTATTAATACAACCATGTTTTCCTCCAAGTAAGTAAGCAAAAGTAATGCAGCTGTCACATGTGTGAGTCTATCAGGACTCTTTCTTATGCGATTTATTGGATTTGCTTCTTCAGGTGCAGATCATTGGTGACCTGTGGGAAAGAGGACTTCTGTTAACTGATGGAATTCTGAAACCAGTAATTGATTGTTAATATGATGTTCCATCATTGTTCTTGTATGTGGATGTCAACAGTGAAATAGGTAATTATCATCTGAAGAACGATGCTTAATGTATGACTTGTATCACACATAAAGTACGTAAATATTACAGTGTGATTTAGTTATTGAATATGATCCATCACATCCTTTACACTTTTTCATTCTTTCCCAGTTTGCTCAGCTTGGACACCAGATATCTGACTGAGGCTTTTCATGGTTTTACTCAGTCTTTCTAGGCAAATGCTGGGATAGAGCCCTAAATTAGGCCATGACCGGTTCCATGTCCTTTACAGTTCAATACTTACCAATCATCTCCTCATATGATGCTATAGTTTAAGTTCATTAAGTAAATAAATAAATTTTCATATACTAACTCGGACAGAGTGTAGTGTGCTGGTAACTGTATTGTATTTTTATTACTTTTTTACACTGTTGAAGTTTTATCAGCCATCATATTTACCTGTATAGATTTCTGACATGGGACATCAATATAATTTATTCCTTTTTGGTTCTTTGCATTGTTTAATTCAAATAATTTTTTTTTATTTCTTATAACAAGTTGAGGTATATACCTTATTTGGGGGTGTATGGCATTGTGTGAAATATGGTACAAAATGGCATTTATCCACGTTGTTTGTGAGAAATGACAATTCTGAGCCAAATTTGATCCACCCGTGCTTATTTAATATTTTGATGTCGAAACCAGAACTGTGAGTGCACTACATCAGTTAATACAGGCATTTAAAGTGTCTTTGTATACGTAATTATTGAACCTTTGGCAGTGAATATGTACATGATGTACTTACCATTCCAAAAGAGTACATACAGCATCATGGCTTATTGTATTCTGATTGTATATTATGTTCATTCTTCTGTCGACCCATGACATATTCAATATAACTGAGGTAGCCGTCTTTATCAAGATCATCTTCTTCCAGTACTTGGTCTATCAGTTCTAGGCGAGAGAATAAATAACCTTTATTCAGTTTTCATGAGAAAGTAGGATGCAGTATATTGACAAAGAAGTAAAAGTAAAGTAAAGTTACTCTACGTCCCGCTTGGGGTGAGTGGAGGTATAGCTCCTCTCTTCCTTGACCTCGGCACTAGATGGGGGTGAGTGGTCAGCATCACGCCCCGGCCGGCTTTACCCCCCGGGAAAGGACCCCGGTACCCATTGTATAGGAGGCTGGGTGGGCCCCAGAGCCGGTCTGGACGCAGAGGCTAGAGGAAAAATATCCTCTGCCCCCGTCAGGGATCGAACCCCGGTCGTCCAGCCCGTAGCATTGACAAAGAAGTACAGAGAGTTTTTTTGATATAAAAGTTCGCAAGCTTTTCGACTTTAGATTGACAGTAACAGCTTTCGGTGTGGGACAACTAAAGATGGCTAGTGTTTATTGACACAGGATCATAAAGAGTAACAACCATTAAACCACAAAATATATAATTGCTTACAAAAAGTATAGAGAAATGAATTTTATGTAGAATTTATAAAATGGTCTATGATATTCAGTCAAGAAGGAAATTTTATACTAATGCCAAATATCACAATATATCTTATTGCTCCTCGCTTACCAACAAAATAGTCGAAGTCGTCTTGGTCCGATTTCTTACTCTCTTCTGTTTGTGTTTCTGTCTGCTGTTGACGATTATAAATTTCCTCGCCTCCTGATTTTTCTTCTTTATAATGGATTGTGTGGTGAACTGCTTGTAAGATCTCCAGCCCATCCAGCTTTGTATTATTATCAAAATCGTGCAGCCTGCATATAGCACCATTTTAATATTATAATCAAAATAAAACAAGAATGGCAAAGTATACATACAACATAAAAGTGTTGCTTCCATCATTAGCCTTGATATTCATTGATTGCAGAAGCAAATGCAGTTCTACCAAGCTAATCACACTACATTTACCACATCATTAATTCACATTACATTATATATCATTAAATATTCATCACGCTAAAAATATTTTAAATATACTCGGCAGGTCTTGATAGTGTGTGTGTGTGTTATATGACGTAACAGTTGTTTTTACAGTTACGCACTTTTAATAAATTAATGTTTGGGCTTTATGTAATGTAGATGTACTAGTCTGAATCAAAATAAAATTCACCAATCAACTTTTTGTGCGGACATCCAATATTCCCTTTTGCCAAAATTTTCATACTAACTGTTGAGTCCATTAACCTACGGTCTGCTTCTTGTGATTAATACCACCCCAATGGTTTATTTAACGTTGCACCAATGAGAAATAATATAGTGAATAATTAATTAGAAATGATGTGGAAGCAAGCTATCATGGCCTAATTTAAGGTACTCTGGCTTTTGTCTGGAGGGACTATGTAAAAGCAGGAAAATCCTTAGGATGGGTAGGACGTCCAAAATACAGAATTTAGCCACTTGGTCGCTATGTTTTGTCAAATAATGGTGAGATGTATTTGAATTCATAGTTTTTATTTTTGTTAGATTTTAAAAACTTCTGTTTAATGCTAAGTTTAATTTAAATTGCTGTTACTATAAACATTTAGAATTGTTAAGCATTCTATTTTCATATCAGTGTCTTGTAGTAATTCGTTTATTAAAATTAATAATTAAATACACTTACTTGAAGTAATGAAATTCCAACTCCTCCGGTGTCATGTTGTCAGTATCCACCTTGGATACCCATTCCCCAAGATCCTCCTGAATGTGTCTGAGACAAAATAACATCAACATGCCCATTAACTGTCTGCAGTTGAATTTTTAACATGTCAGTTTGGCAAAATGCTGAATATAAATAGCTTAAAAGTAAGAGAGTAAGCAAGTTTGTGTGTGAGTAACCTGGTAAAAATTTGTTTTATTATAATGTGATAATTGAATCGTCGTATTATGTTATTTAATTTCAAGCGCCGTGATTAGACGGCAAACACCTGTACTAGTGTGTTTCGTGTGGAAGCATAACTGGATTATTGCAGGGGGTACCTGGGAGTTTGTCGTGGCGTTGTCTCGCTCTTAAAGGTTAGGCTAATCTTGTATGTACATGAGATCATCAATGTCTATTCCGAATGCTGTATGGACGATTAACTCAAGAACATGTAAAACGAAGAAAACTTACTCCTTGGAGCAGGGTCATCTTGAGAAGCTGGAAACTTCTCAGGTGTCAACGTTTTCTTAAACTAAAGTTTCGTGATCCTGTTCATAAGATCATACCGCTTATCCCTATTACGAGCGTGAAGAATTCAGTCCACAATTATGTCAGACCAATTTTAATATTATGCTCCTCTACGCATTTTTATACATAAGTATGATATTTTGTTTTAATATTATACTCCTCTATGCATTTTTATACATAAGTATGATATTTTATTCATTAATAACTTTTGATGTTTCATCCTTGTCTTTACTTACACGGTATCATGCAGAAGATCTGTGTCCTGAGTTAACTTGGGGACTTCCATATTTGCTTCATGGCGATGAGGGCTGTAGTGATGGTGTGCTACAACCTTCCCTCTGGGGTGATGAGGTCCCCTCATGCTATGCTGATGTCCAACAGATGGCTCTTCCATGAGAGATGCAATATAAAACATGACTACAGCTCCAAGAAACATTCTGTTTCCATAAACTCCTATAGACTTCTGCAGTGGTTTCGGGAAAGTCTTTAGTTATTAAAGCAAGCTGAAAGAAATTAAAATAGCGATGTAAAGAAAAGGGAGAATTTGTCAGTTTAAAATTCGTTACGATAATATTAAAATAAATGGTAAAGATAAAGAGTGCGGACTGGATCAGGACAGGACTAAATGGCGAGAAAGTTTATTGACTGGCTTAGAGAATATTATCTTTATGAAGGACTCTGCTTTGTAGAGTTTACCTACGACTTATTGCATTATTATGCGGAGAAAGGCAGCTATGCGTGTGTATGATAAATTTTATGTTTAATCATGAAATGAAAAGTTGCCTGTGATTGTAACGACTTTGTCGGCTGTTATTTACTTCAGGGTAATTCAGCCGGAGCGTGAAGCCGGCTTCTCACTTCCATCAAGATCATACGGAACTTAGCATTGATTCGCATTGTGGTGGCGCTGAGATACAAGGACTACATTAAGGTAAGGATGACTTTTTAAATGTTGCTACTAATTCTGTTTCTGACAGACGGTTGATCAAGAATGTGAAGTTCATATGCAGTTTCCGATTTATTCTTAGACTATCTAAGGATTTTATGTTTAAGGATTTTGTATTTCAGCTGCGCAGGTTATAGACTATATAGCGTTAAATGAGGTAGGAAGATGATCATGAAAGGTGACTATTTGATGACACAGAGAAACGTGATATATTTTAAGTTAATTCTCGCATTCGCCTGGAGATTCAGTGGATGACAAATACATTTAATGATTTATTCTTGAGTTTGGGAGTAATTTTTTTCAAGGAACACTACATATGTTTACGTGTGCTTGCCGGAGTGAGGAGGGCCACGTATTTATGCGTGTTCGGTTATAAAATATCGAGTTTATCTGCTGTTTTTTTACTTTCTTACCTCTTCTATACGAGAAACGAGGTTCTAAGTAAGGGGGCGGCTACTCTCCTTTGTGCTTTTCAATTAATATGAAGAAGTTATCAGGAGTTTTAATTGGATAATTTACAATTCGGTGACATATTCCTGTGTATAATGCACACTAGTTTAGATGACGACCAACAGAAAGCTGTTACGTAAACTATAAACATTTCGCTGAGTGGCCATGTTTGAGATTTTTATTAAAGAAAAATATATTAATTATTTTCGGTTATTAAGATGGCTCGAAAGAACGTGATCGTTACCTTTGTTTTCGACACAGTTTTGTTATTTTCTTCGAAACTGGGATAATCTGAATGTTTCCGATTAACATAATCAGTATCAGGTTGTGCTGAACTCGGGACCCCGAAGCTGAAACAAAACCACGAGTTCGGTTGCAGTACGAAGCTATAATTTGCAACCAATGAAATGCTACACCCTGATTAAATCGTTCTGTGTTTCTGGTTCAGTCCACGTACATGAAAGCGTCTGCATTGCTCGTCTAAAGCTACACATTCAGGGATTAGCAAGGGTAGAGTAGCATGGTTTACTTAGGATTGGTGGCGATTTTATCACCTTGGTTTTCGGAACATTGAAACGTCATTGATAATGATGCTTCCCTTGAGGGTTGTGAACAAGAGCCCTCATCCCTTAGAGAATTTCAGCACTCCCCCATACCACATTCCACCCTCCGTCTACTGTAGCTGATGTTTGGTGGACTATGAATGTGTAATTGCCGACCCCAGCCCTAAAACCCCCTAATGCGCTCAATGGGGTGGTAGAGAATGGATTTGTAGCTTCAGTGTATATGCGTTCTATTATCCCCCGGACACACTTGTCATCATCAAAGTTCCCTACTTTATTCAAACACCATTATTGAAAATGGGACACGAGTGGGATGGATGTATGGAGAGGTAAAATTTCACCCCCCCCTCCCCAGTTCTGTTGTTACATTTTGAATACAGTAGTAAATTAAGGAAAACGCAATGCTTCAATATTTTGGGTTTGTAGGATCTCTCTACACGCATCGTTTACGTATATTGCCTCATTAGTATTATTTTACGGATAGTTTACTTAGCGACATCAATGCTCGTATTTCTTAGCCCCTAGTTACATTTTTGAGAAACTTTATTAATATTGTGTAGTAATGTGGAAGATTTTATTTATTTGTTTATTTTTTATTTTTGGACAACAGTAACAAATAAAAATTGCATTCACTACAAGTTAAGAACAGATTAAATTCGTAGAATGCAAAATGTTTTATCTTCAGTTTTCAGAGATAAAACTCTAAGTTTACCCGTTTTTTAGATGGCAAAACTTGGTTTATTATCGTAAGGGAACAGCTGAAATTTACGTCACTTTGGAACACGGTTTTTAAGATAATATTTGGACGGAAAAAATTACGTAATTAAGAATGTCCTAATTTGTAATCTTTGATAAATATTAATTACAGTGATCAAATTATGGTTAATTATATGGGTAGGTTACAGAGCACAAATTCGACGATCATACAGTCGTAGAGAATTTTAGTATTGAATCTTGAACTAACAGTAGATGGAATGATGGATTTCAAAGGAGTAGGTTTCGAGTGTGTGGACTGAATTCATCTGCCTTGTGACAGGGTCCAGTTGCAGACTTCTGCATGTTATTAATATTATCTACTAAAAATAATATATCGTACTATTAAGTTCAAAGCGGTTAGATGCGGATGGAAAAGACATCTGTCAAGGAAGGTCTACAGGTGAAATGGAGACAGATCGTCACGTATTCTACAGTTTGGCATGGGGTAGGGATCAGCATTTCTCTCCGGTCGATCAGTCACCGGGAAGTATTCCTTTTATGAATGTAATGAATAAGTTTTGTTTATGCTATTTTTTAATTATTATATAGCGTTATAGGATATTATATAAGACAGAATTATGAACACAATTCCGTTTTCTTGCGGTGGATAACATCAAGTAAGAAGGAAATTGTATGAACAAAATGTTCATTTAATTTGAAATTCAGTTATTAGCAGAGAAAATGTCATGTCTCACCCCCCAATCCGCCCCTGTACTCAACAATGGACTGAGTGCCATATGGATAGGTCTCGGATAGACTCCAGCCGAGTCGATGACTGACAATAAGTCCCTAGCCAATACTCGCCCATATGTTTGCTCTTGCACATTTTCGTCGCCTGCGTTGAGAGGACAGATGATAACTGACGGAGTGGGGACACTGCAGACAAATACTTTGTAGCAGTAGAGTTCCTGTCTCTCATGACAATAACATTGTTCCTAGTTGACATAATACTGCAATAAATGGGAATTTGGTGTGTCTAATTCCGACTTTTAGCAGCTCTTGACATGTGTGTTTCCCTATTACAGTATATTCCCCTAGCTGGTTCGGTTTACTACAGAAGATAATAGATGTGGTTAATTCGTAGGTTATTTAGCGACGTTATATAAACTGCAGGTACTGCATATTGCCTAATGAAATGAGAGAATGGTTGTTTACGATGAAGATTTTATTTTACTTGCATGCAGAAAATTGAAGAAAATTTCAGACACGGTAATGCACTTCAGAGCCTTTTTGCCTCCCTGTCTGAAATGTACAAATTTTGATATTAAAATGTATAAATCTGTAACTTTATCTGTTGTTTTGTACGGGTGTGAAACTTGGTCTCTCACATTAAGGGAAGATCACATGTTGAGGGTGTTTGAGAACAGGGTACTGAAGAAAATGTTTGGATCTAAGAAGGGTGAAATGGTAGGAGGTTGTAGCAAATTGTACAGCGAGGAATTTAATAATTTTACCTCTTCACCAAATATTATTACGATGATATAGTAAAAAATAATGTGATTGGTGGAGCATGTAGGAAGTATGGGTAGATTAAAAATGTGTATAGAATTTTGGTTGGTAAGCCTGGGGGAAGAGATTACTTGGAAGATATAGACAAATATTGGAGGATAATATTAAAACGAATCTTAGTGAAATGGGATTTGAGGGTGTAGACAGGATTGGTCTGACTCAAGATAGGGGTCGTGGCTTGCTGTTTGAATATGCCAGTGAACGTTTGGGTTTTAGGTAATTATTGACTAACTGAGCGGTTATAACCTAAGCTTCTCAAGATGGGCTCTGCTCCATGGAGTTCATACGTAGTTTTCACGACGTACAGATTTTCTCGAGTCACAACGATGATGATGTGAGGCCTGGAATTTTGCTGTGACAAATCAGGACTGAAACGAACAATGTGTAACGGCGTCTAGCTGCATTTTCTGAACAGTACTAACATTACTAAAACGTTTTGACGAAATCTAGTACAACATTCATTACCACTTTATATGAAGACTGAATATTTATTGATAAATATTTTGATAAAAATTGGTTATATTAAGATACGTTTCAAAAAGTATTGTGAGTTGTTAATAAGGCAGATGTAGGTTATTTAAACGTTCTTCATCTAACATGTTCTTTACGTACTTATGGTCGTGAAATACCGACGAAAACGAATGTGTGTGGAACATGTCTGTTTGTGATAATGTCGTTCTCGTCGCAGTCTTCTTGAAGTAACAGGATATTCGAGCATTTATTAAAAGAAGTTTAGAAATTCCCTCTAAACTCAAAATAACAAATACGTTTCTATACTGGTAATTCGCTTGGTGTCATAGAAAGTCCAACAGTGAAAACATTTGTTTTTTCAAAGATTCGTTAGGTAGTAAATTTACAAAATCGAGTTCTAATGGAATAACATACACATACAATTTTTTTTTTTTGAAAAAAATGCGAAATGACTCAGGCATGCAATATTAAGACGTGTATAGATGAGAGACATATTTTTGTTGAGATAATTTCGCACGGAAGTTTGAACTACAGCGAATGCCAAATTTGTTGTTTTCATGACAGTGAATATTTGGATTGCGGTCTTCTGTGTTTGATGCCTTTAGTCTTGTAAATGGTTACCAATTTTTATATTATCTTCTGTTCTGAGGATGGAAGCGATTGGTTCATCCGAAACGTTAATAACTACCTTCAAGACTATTCGGCGACATAACGAGTATAAAGTAGCCATATTTAATATCAAAATAATTATAGACCCAGTAACACGCACAAGTAGAAACACTTCCATGGCCTTTTGCAATACCAGCGATAAAGTTAAAAAATACTCGCCTACGAATTGTGGTGTTGAATAAAATATTTAAAATAAATTATTGTTCTGATTATAAGTAAGCCTACATTTTATGACAAGCTCAAACAAAACATATACGGAAATATGTCAAGAAATCACACGATATTATGTAAGTATCTCAATAAATAATATGACGTACTACCTGTGTAATGGAAAAGCTTGATAACTTACTGTAAATAAATATATAAAGATCAAACTGCAGACCAAACCGGTGATAACAGTACGTCGATATCTCGCCAATGTGAGAATGGACGGCAGGCATCATCAGTGTGCGCAGTATCAGGGAATCTCAGTGCAAGTGATGCCCCGTGCAGCCGCTGTATGGAGCTGCCATGCTCAGAGTTTAGTAATACCATAAAATTACCTTACAACTCCTTGAGGTTAACATATTTTGACTTACAATAACCCACCAGGATATGTTTCGATACTCATTGACACACGCGCTGCATATGCTCGTGATTTTGATCCGTTTTCCGTAACGAAGTTCTAAACGGACCCACGTGTTCAATGGATCTAACTGTTTTCTGTGATATAGAGCCATGTAGTCTGGTAGAAATTTACCCACAATTATGATAGTGGAGGCAGCAGGCACCTCTGAAATGTAGATAAACTTCTATCAGACTACACGGCGCAACATTTCAAAAGACAGGAAGTCATTCATATTTTCCGCCGTGAGAACCTGAAATCTCAACCACGTGTTAAGTGGTTCCTGGATACAAGGTTCTAAGATAGGCTGAGATATGTCAGATGTCAGACAGCTCTGGCTTTTGGCAAGGAGATTGTAAGGTTTGTTATTAACTTATTTAATTGCCGTGTTTGAAACGGAGATGTTTTATATATTCCAAAGAGAATGGAAAATTGTGAGTTACATGTGCATAGACGTTTAGAAAGTGGTTGTGACTTTTTGAAGATTCGTTTCGAGATTCGCTGAGGGAAACCACGAGAAATCTGTCAGGGTAGTTGACCCGTGGGGCGAGATTTTAAACGTCGATCTCCCGAACATGAAGCAGGAATCTTTACTACCCGAATGCGATGGTTAGTGATGGTGAAAGGCAAATATACGGAATGGTACAAAATATTACGGTTTTGGCAAAAATTATATAAATTTGAATGAAACTCGTTGAAATTGTGTACAGACATATTTATTCGGTTTGGTTGATACATTACACAGAAAATGTATATATTAATTTTTACTATTTTTAAATTTTTTATGAGAGTTTTGATTTTCACGGAAGTGAAATTTTAGCTTATGATCTTGTGTTTTGCGAGTAGTTATGTATGTAGTTACCAACATTTCTGGGAACCAGCAGCCTTCATTTTCAGGGCGTATGAAGATGGAAGCAGGAGGTTACTGTGAAACTTTGGTAACTGTCTATATGACTACACGGTGTCGCAACCCAGAACACCAAAACTTATGAACCTATGCTGCAGTCGTATTTGAGCCAACAACCAAGCGAACCGAGACCTAAATGTGTGTTTTAATACCCCTCCTGGATGGCAGTATTTTAACAATTCATGTGGAATTAAGGAGGAAGAAGAAGAAGAATGCAAAATTTACGCTGTGAGTAGTCGGGCTGGCGGTTGGTAGCAAGAGTAGCTTCGGATGGGAAGGTTGGCGCGGAAGCAGGGTTTGCTCCTGTAGTCATGACAACGCGAAGCTGGTGTAGTGGCAAGTGATCCTGGCGGTGTTTTATTGATTCGACCAAGAGTCGGATACAATGCTGATGTTCTTCTCCTGCGATAACTGTGCCGATGATAAGCCCACAGACAATAATTATGGAATCCCAGTGTCACATGTAACATATTTATTCAAGTATAAAATTCTGTGATCGGAATTCCTGACGGCATATCGTGGTCTTACAAGATAAACTCGTTAACTCCAAAAAAAAGAAAAGAAAAAATAAGTCGTATTCACCATTGTCCATAATTCAATGCATTATGTGAAGCAACACGTGTAACAATGTTATCACAATTAGACTAATTTCTGGACGTAGGAGTTTTTTCCATTTAGCCCAAAGCTTCCTTGTATTTCCTTCTTACTGGGTTTTAAAATGGCGAACAGTTGTAGACTTTATACTGGTTTTCTGTAAAATCTCGTTTGACTTGACAGTTTTTACGCGCTTGTAATATTCTAAGACCAAAACCGAAGGTGATGTTTGGTGTTATTCCAGTCATTCGTTATCACTTTGTATTTGTTCATACGTGGTTTTTCTCTGTCTTCCATTAATCAAAATTATTTGCGCCAGATGTCTGTTACTGTTAATCGATCTTACAATAACTTCACTGTCGATTTTATTTGCTATTTCCGATTTTTATTTGAGATGGTAATCAGCAAGGTTGAATTATGTAACGGAGACTCGCGGCTACTTCGATGATTACCCACAGTACTCCTGTTTTTTTACGTTTGAAAGTGCAGCGAAAATTTATACACCACTTAGACGGAATTTTAAAAGTTAATATCGTATCTACGATCTATCGTATCTATCGTATTGGCATGAGTACAGTCGTCTTTCACCTGAAATCTGAATCCGATTTGTCTATTTTCAGGAATAATGTTGTTCTTATAGAGACCGTAAAAACGTGGTATTATAACGCCAAAAAACACTGGATTTAAATTAGTGTGATTAAGAAATCAATATTCTGCAACTGGTGTGTTCCTGAGAGATTTGCCGCGAATTGTTATAAGAAATTGTATATTAATGCGTAATTAAAATGAGTAACACACACACAGATTCATCATCGATGGTTTTATTCAACATGTATTATGTTTTATTTTCATATGTCTGCATTCATATAGGATTTATATGTGGATACATGTTTATAGCCATGTACAATTTCGTACATTCTTTACGTGAGGCAAAAATTTTCGGTGTGCCGTCATGTATCTTTGACAAATTAGGGTGTGCCTCGGGTTAAAAGTGATTTCGAAACACTAATAAATGAACATGCCGGTAACAGTAGTATGTTAAAATATTTTAAACATTGCTGTATCCGATGTTTGTAACATTGTCTAAGGTCTCCTTAGAAGAGAGGAGAGGGGTGGAGAATCTAATAAGAGAGCATCTCTCCCACGAGGAGGGTGATGTGGAGTACAAGAAGCCCCTGATGTGACCGACCGACGTTGTACGAAGGTCCTGATCCTATTTGAATCCATCAACAATCCCCACCTCCCAACAGGTTGTGAGTTATAGCATGGAAGTTTAGGTCCTCGTGGATCCTATAGCAAAACAACGAACCGTGGAGCTTCGTGTTTCATGTTGATGCCGTACGTTGAGGGCTACTGAATAGGTATTTTCATATACAGTTTGCCCATGTTTTTAAAAATAAACTGTATTTACATCGCCCTTTAATAATCTTCTTCGTACATCTTTAATAAATCTCATAAAACGTAATGAAATTACAATGCTATTTAATCTCTTACCTTGCACACGCACTACAAGAAACAACCATTAAATTATAGCTGTTGTACTTAGCATTTAGGTCAAGTTATAAAAACGAAAGGATGTGACGTCACATGTATTTTGTATCAGTTGTTTTAAGTCGTGACGTCTCCTGGTGATACGTCTTGCAAGTACCAAATAGATGGCGTAAACAGAAATTAAATTATACTTCAGAATCAAAAGAAGTTATTACTTTAACGGTACTAATATAGCTCACTGCTATTGAAGAGAATGTAGCTCAGGCAGTATAAAAACAGGATTCTGTTATAAGTACAGTTTCTTCCAAAGAAAGTAGATATTTCATGTGATATATTTTCTCAATTAAGTGATCAAGTTATTCCGTCATATAGTAGACCGCATTCAAAGTATTTAGCTTTGCTGTGTAATAATGCTACAAGATAAAAAATTCTGAAATAATAGTAGCATGCATTTTATTATCTTATTCTTATTATTAATGTTTTCTTTCTTTTTTGCTATTATTACGAAATTCTTTTCCGGTATTATTCATACTATGTCCTAGGTTTTCTTTGCGACAAATGGGGATCTGTTTAGCGCTTTTTCCATTTTTCTACAAACGAATGTTAGTCCATATCCGCTAGCTGATTCAATGGAACAGTCCTTGAGAAGCTAATGGTCGCTCAGCTGGTCAATAAATCCCCACTTTTTCGATTCATTAATTCAAATGACTACTTCTATTTACATTTTTCAGAAATTATCATAACAAATCATTTTTTATTAGTCATACTTAATCTTAGAACAGAGTGATGATAATATTTTTACTTATTTGGAATACAATTACAGGAGAATGTAGAAAAGTGCATGATGAGGAACGTAATAATTCGTACTGTTCACCAGATATTATTGGAATGATCAGATCAAAGCGGATGAGATAGTCAGTGGACGTAGCAAGCAGAATGTTGATTGAAGCTAAGAAAACCTCTCGGAAGATCTAGGCGTAGATAAAAGTAAAGTAAAAGTAAAGTTTGTCCCGCTATACGCCATGTAGGCGCTTGGGGGGAGTGGAGGTATAGCTCCTCTCTTCCTTGACCTCGGCACTAGATGGGGGTGAGTGGTCAGAATCACGCCCCGGCCGGCTTTACCCCCGGGAAAGGACCCCGGTACTCATTGTAGAGGAGGCTGGGTGGGCCCCAGAGCCGGTCTGGACGCAGAGGCTAGAGGAAAAATCCTCTGCTCCCGTCGGGGATCGAACCCCGGTCGTCCAGCCCGTAGCTAGTCACTATACTAACTGAGCTATCCCGGCTCATTCTAGGCGTAGATGGAAAATAATATTAAAATGAAAGGAATAGGGTGGAAGGTTGTGGACTGGATTAATCTAACTTAGGATATGAACCGTTGGCGGGCGAACACGCTACTTAACCTTTGGGTTTTATATAAGACTGGGAATTTCATGACTAGCTGAGTGAGCTTTTCAAGAAGGACTTCGCTCCATTCAGTTAATTAAGAGTTCTATTTAAATCATCCCCAGAAAGAATATAACGCTGTAATTTCAGTTGATTTGTTTGTAGGATAATATTTCTTAACGCTAGAAGACAGCTATTGTGTCGTCACCATTGTAAGCGAACATCTGCACGCAGAAGAGACAGAATTGCAGTAACCTATGTGAGAAAACGTGAAAGTGCATTGGCTTTGAGCAGCCCCTGTATTTTATTGTTGTGGACTTGTCACGTTTTTCTTCTTGAGAAGCAAAATGTACTGGGAGTTGAGATTCTCTTCGCAGAGTGGTTTTCGGAATTATTTAAGAGACTCAGTTCGAAAATGGCCGTATACACAGTCAAACAAC